AGCGCCTCCCGCTCCTAACGTTTGTTTTGCTTTTGAAAGGATCTGGAAGGAAGCGGCGGAACTTAATTTCCTGGAGAGAATGAGGAAAACTACGAAAAACCTGAAACGCTACTTTCAGTCAGACTACACGACGTCCGGAAGTCAGCGCTATTCATCCCTACCTCTCATTCAAGACGTCAGCCGGTGTCAGAGATTTGCACTGGGAACCGCCAGAATACGAAGCAGGGTGCCCTGCCCCCTCGGTGCAAGTTGATTCTGTTTATATCTGTACCGTGTTGGGTGCAGTAAATGTTGCGGTCAGTGCCATGGTCCCTGATGTGCAATGCATATAGCATAATCAACACGCACTGCCCGCAGATCTTTACAAATCGATCATGGTCGCCGCTAACAAAAGAAAGTCCGCGTTGCTCTTGCAGGCAGCTGTTTGCACCGCACGCCACGTGTGCATTCGGCTGTCTGCACGTTCAATATTCGAAAACTCTAGTCAGATTTTCTTTATTAAATTTAGTGTTCAGGACCTGCGCCTGTTGTCGTCGGAAGATTTTTTCGACTGGAAATGACGCGGACGTCATGTGAACCTGAAATCAAGTCTTATCGGCTCTGCTGAAAAGGGCAGTCGTCCAGTAAGACATGACACATGACAAGATGTACGTGTCATTGCCATCTGACATTTTAATTTGAACCGTTTTTCCATGAAGTGTCGGTGTAGCGACGGGCTGGACGTCCCGAGTTCGACTGCCGGCAGAGCAAGAGTTTTCTCCACGTCGTGCAGACCTGGTGTGGGGCCCACCTAGCTTCCTGTCTAACGGGCACCGGGGCCCTTTCTTCGAGGGTAAAGTTGCTGGGGCGTGAAGTTGACCATCCACCTCCATCTAATTCCGAGGTCAAGATAGGTGGAGCTATACCTCCATACCCCCATACGTCTTCATGCCGTAGTGGTTAAAAATCAAACGCAGGGACTTTACCTTTTATATTTCATCAGACACAATTAGCAAATGGTTTGTGGCACAGTGTCTTTTGTTGCATCGGCAGTAAGCGAACGTCAAAGCCAGTGAACATGTGCAAATAGCAAACAGCTATTCTTGTATTATGAACGGTAAGGTTGGAAAGCATCGCGTTGTGTTTGAGTTCAGTAGGTACGTCGAAGCTAACTGTTGTTTGGCAGGAGGATCCTTTTGGCTGATGCTGTGATGTGACCTCCAGTGGCATGACGTTCATGCTGGTTCCGTAACTGGATAAGCAGGAGGCGCGACCTAAAGGCCGCCCGTGGGCAGCTACTTTGCTGCCAGGCTTATAGACCTGACGTCAGCTTCCCCCTGTACCTGCCAACTTAGGCAACAACACACGCAGAGACAGCCAAGGTATCGAGTTCTCCGCATGCGTGACTAAGTACAGCGCCATGAAGGCGAGTGGAACAGTGGATTTATAGATACGCATTTTCTTAACCTAGGCACTAGTTGAAAGTGAGTGGACATCTTCACGCCCCTGCCGCTTTACCCCCAGGAAAGAGTCCCCAGCATCCATTGTTGGATGGGAGGCTGGGTAGGCCCCAGAGGCGGTCTGAACGACGTGGAGAGAAGAAAAATATCGCTCCTACTGGGACTCGAGATCCGACCCCTCAGGTGTCCGGCTCGTAGCCAGTCGCTATACCGACTGCGATATCCTGGCTCCTAAAACAAGACAGCTGGCGCAAGAAACTTACAGTTAATGCACAAATAAAATGGGGGCACGCGGTAGAGTAGTTGGTTGAGGCATTATGCTACAAGTCGGAAGGTCGCGGGATCGAATCCTGATGAGGTGGATTTTTTCAAGTTACATAATCCTTCCAGCCGCACTATAGGCCCTGGGGTCGACTCAGCCTCTAACAGAAATGAATACCAGGAATATTCTTGGGGGTAAAGGGCGGCCAGCACATAAGGCTGTCAACCTTACCGCCATCTATGAGCCGATTGTTTAGAAAATGTGGGAAGGTCAACATCTCACAACCCTATGGGCCTCCACGGCCTGTTGCAGGGATAGCTTTACTTACTTGCACAAATGAAATACTGCACGAAAAATGCGCATTGAGGCATCGCGAGACCGGACTGCGATGCGAGGTTTGGTTTCCGCGCAAGCCGACGGGCGTCTCTCGTGTTGAGGCACGAAGAGGCGCATATCGCGCGGCGCATGGAGGCACTTTCACATTTCTGCATCCCATTTCGAAACGTCCGTTGTTGGATGCTCAGACTTCCCGCCGTGACGCCGAACGTCAAGACGACGGTATGTCTCGCCTTTGTTGCGACACGATCGGACCCGATGGCCTTCGTATCGCAAAACGTCTTGACGGCCATGTACGCAGCCTTCGGAGCTGTCTCGGTGTCCAGCATTGCCCCACCCTTGTGCTCTGCAGGGCTCGAACGCACTTACGTGCCAGCGGAAGCCGTGGGAGTATGAATGCTCATGAATGCAGGAGAGTGGACTCGACGTTTGTTTTGTTTTTGCACCCTGTTGTGTATTGGTATTAACTGGGTATTGAAATCGTACACCGTACACAACAGGATGCAAAAATTAATGCCATTAATGTGCTTCTCATACACGTAGCAAAAACAGACATGCAAGTACGGAGCTGCACCTGAGATAACCCGCCAGTTTAAAATGGTTACATTATATTTCTGTGAGCACGAATATACGGTGATAAATATTGTTTCCTGCTGGATGGTGGCAGAACTTAACGGCAGCTTCAGTCGATAATCATATGCGGGAATCATAACACCATTTTAACAAGTTTTTTATGTGTAACTGTAGAATTCATTTTATGACAATTGACAACGACAATTAACTCAAACGCAAGCCCACTTTCAACTCTCCAATATTCATCATCATTATCACCATTGGAAAAGCAGCCCCCTTTGAGCCATGGCCTTCCTTAGAAGATTCTGTCACGGTGCATACGGTTATCACTTCTTTGGATTTCGCAACAGTATTCTTTTTTGCAGAGCAAGGTCGTAGCCTTGCGTCCAACCCCCAGACTGGAGGACCAGGTCCCTGTATTTCTGTGGCTCATTTATACCCCCAGGCACCGGGTTCCCTTTCAGTCGCCTCCTACGACTCGCAGGGCTAGGGTGGAGGTATTCGAACCGGCCTTCACGCTGTTGAAACATGCAGCACTGCTTCAAGTAAATACTTTATATTGATATGTATTACTCAGTACCGGTCGTACTGACGGGTGTTTTAGTAGCCAGTGGACGTCCAGCACTTTCAGAATCAAAATCTTTCTCTAAGAAAGCCGGACGTTTTGTTTGATTACGAACATATGTTTTCCTTGCGTGTTGTAACCACGCGCCGGAATAGCGACGAGTGACAGGCTACGGGCTGGACATCCCAGGTTCGAGTCCAAGTAAGGCTAGGATTTTTCTTCTCTCCGGGGCACACCCAACCTCCTATCCAATGGGTACCGAAAGCAATATTCCCGGGGTAAAGCGGCCGGGGCGCGAAGCTGATTACTCAATTCAATCTAGAGCCGAGGTCGACAATTGTGGAGCTCTAACTCCACTCCTCCACATGTCTTTCAAGTTGTCCCTGTGCTTAATTAGTTACACACTATACACCTCCAGGCCACAATACCGTGGGCTGAGGTGACAACCGGTTGGCCGTTCCTCTGGGGGCAACAAGGTGACGTCGAGTGTAACCGGAACAAGGAGTCGTGACGTCAGCAAGGTCCAAACTGCCAGAGCTAGGCTGACGCATGATCGCCCTGTCCCTTGCCGTCGTGTCAGAACCAGCTTCGAGAGTGGCGCCCTCAACCGGTCGCTCGGATTGGGAAGGAGTACCTGCACACAGAATTTTCACAGGAACGGCCTTAGAAAAAGGACTACTGCGGGAGAGAGGTTGCTCAAAAAGTAACACTTCTGAATTGTATTCGTGAGGTGACTGGCTCGAATCTTGGCCGAAACACCGATTATTCTGGCCCACGGTTTTCGTCGTTTTCTGAGGCCCTCCAGCACAATTCCGCGATATAAAGTTAGGCCATGACCGCTTCCTTTCACATGCTTCCCAATTCGTTATTCACTTCTACCATTCGACGCCATATATATAGTCAAATTCAAAGTCACACTGCGACTGACGGTCAGTCAGTCAGTAATTCTTGGTGCCGAGCCCCATCTGGGGCTAATGACCAGATATTTATTGCTATTTGACAGTTACAGTCTTACTTTCGTGGGGCGTCCTCTCTGACGAGAGGATGGGTCTGTATTTTGTATATGCTGCTGGTCCTTGCCAGCGCAGTCTTTTTCGGGTCTGAGTCCCGTGGGATTAGTGACCATATTTTACTGTCTGAGATTTGATACATCCCTTTTCGTCGCCTCCGACTCGCAGGGCCACGGTGGAGGTACTCGACCCCGCCTCCACACGGGTGTCTATTATCTCCATATATATAGTGACAGATTGGGCCGCTTCTAGGAGACGAATACTTAAACATGTTCCAACCAACGAACATCCAACAATAGAAGGGGTTTCATTGCTAGGTAACAGACCGGTAAACACATCACAGCAACGAGTGCGCAACAATAGGGCGACCATTGCTAGGCAGTGCATGGGTGGACACGCCTGACAACAATACATTATATCCGTTGCTAAGCAGCGGTGTGTTTCAACATCCGGTTCTCAAACACCCTCAGTCTATGTTCCTCCCTTAATGTCAGAGACAAAGTTTCACACACATACAGAACCACAGGCAAAATTACACTTCTGTATATTCTAATTTTTATGTATTCAGACAGAAGATGAGAAGACAAAAAAGGTTCAGTTAGTTACTCCGGGGGTCATCGTATCGTTAGGTTGGGTTGCAGAGCAAGGCATTGTCCCGCTGACCACAGTTCGATCTGAACCTGCAGTTTCTCGACACACAACTCGCAGTACTGTTGCTCCTACAGCGCGACAGCCATATTTGAAATGTCGAGGCTCTAGAATAAGACGCACAGTAGCATGATCTTCATACAGAGTCTGATCCACTGTTGTTGCAGGATTGGAGGCGATGGAGGCGGCGTCAGCAGGCGCAGAGGACAGCCCCCACACAGCGGAAGGCTTCTTCCTTCACGATGAAGAGAGACTGGTTCAGTTGGCAAGCCTGCTGGCAGAGGACCTGAACCGGTGCTGCCGCGTCAACTTGGGATTCGAGGACGACTGGTGCCTCCTGGACGAGAAGTCACTTCCCTCCGCAGAACCGAGTCCTGCGGACAGACTGGGGTCCCCTGGAGAACCAAGTCCCGCAGACATATTGGAGTCTCCTGCAGAATCGAGTCCCGCAGACAGACTGAGGTCTCCTGCAGAATCGAGTCCCGCAGACAGACTGGGGTCTTCTGCAGAACCGAGTCCCACAGACAGACTGGGGTCTTCTGCAAAACCGAGTCCCACAGACAGACTGGGGTCTTCTGCAGAACCGAGTCCCACAGACAGACTGGGGTCTCCTGCAGAACTGAGTCCCGCAGACAGGCCGAGGTCTCGTGCAGAACCGAGTCCCGCAGACAGACTGGGGTCTCCTGCAGAAGTGAGTCCCGCAGACAGTCCACTCATCCCTGGAGAACTGAATCACGCTGCTGGAGGATGGTACCCTGGAGAACTACGTCACGCGGATAGACCACTCATTCCTGCGGACTGGAGTCACGCTGATACTCCACTTTCTTCTGCGGAACTGAGTCACCCTAGCAGACAGTTGCTGCTTGTAGGATTGGACCGCGATGATACGCCGCTTACCTTAACGGAGCTGAGTCATGATGTGCCGTCTGTAGAACTGAGAAACCCAAACGGACTATTCTCCCCTGCAGAACTGAGTCGCGCTGACATGCCTCTGCCCTCTGCAGAATATAGTGATGCTGATAGATCAGTCCCTTTCGAAGAACCCAGTCCCGCTGACAGGCCAGTGGCTTCCGAAGAACTGAGTCACGCTGACATGCTACTGCCCTCTGCAGAACTCAGTCCCTTTGACAGGCCCCATTCTGCTGCAGAACTGAGACAAGCTAACAGACCACTCTTCTTAGAAGAAACCAGTCCCGCTGACAGGCCACATTCTGCTGCAGAACTTACGCACTGTGGCGCTGCTCCGGAACCGCCTGCTGTTGACGGCAGCAGGGAATCAAGGTGAGTCACACGTCTCGGAGGGAACCCCGTAACTGCGGGACAGTTGGATGGTGACGTGCAGGTCCTGCAGGGATAGGGCCTCGGGTGATTTTGTCGTAGCTGGGAGAAGTGGGGCTGGCCAGGGTTGCAGAATGCGTCGGTACCAGAGTGCCGCGTGCTGGTTTGAGACATAGTTCAGTGTTGGCGGTCAGTCGCGCCGACGGTCTGTGTGGCTCACTGTATGCGCCGCGATGAGCAAGTTGGCCGGCTTGTATTCGGAGGGTGACCCGTTTGGATCCCAGCCGAGTCTAGTTCAGGATTTTCGTGTCTTTCCCCAGTTCCTCCAGGCATACTCCAGGATAATACCAAGGATTAGGCCACGACCGCTTCTTTCCACATCCTCTCCAGTTTATTTTCCAATGATCATCTTACCATTCTACTGTATGTACTCTGAGTGTGGGTAAATAAACCGCATGTAACACCGTGTAGGAAATATATTTGCAGAAAGCAATCGCGTCTCCACTACAAAGCCCAACCGGTTAATGCTGTTTGGGGAAACTGTCGCTGTTTACTGTGAGAACCACACGGAACACAGATACACTCTGTGGGCAGAATGCAGAGTTTTGGTGCGTTAAAGCAGTGTTACATATAGTTACCACTGGACTTTAAGGGGATAGAGTAGATCTGTTCGGACTCTTTAACTACGGTTTGTCGGCCGAATTTGGATGTGTTTCGAGTACGCAGCTACCGGCAGCTGCTAACTTGACTCAAGGACGAACCATTCACTGGAGGAGGTTCCGTTTGCTCTCTTTTCTTCTTCTTCCATTAATCCTGAACGGAATATCTGACGACGACGCGAACAAGAAAAATCGGTTTCTGGCGGAAGGAGAAGTTGTCAGGAGCTGCTACCGACTTCAGCGCACCTGGCTGTACGCCTGCACTTGTTTTCATATGTAACAACTCGGGAACCGCTGAAAGAATTTTCGCGAAAATTATGATTGAACAGTTGCACTGAAATTGGTAGCAAGAAGAAAAAATTCCCGTGTTTGATTAATTAAGCACTGTGCCATGAAGACGTAGGGGGGAGTGGAGGTATAGGTTTACCATTCACGACCTCGGCACTAGATGGAGTTGAGCGGTCAGCTTCACGCCACGGCCGCTTTAGAGCCTTTACCCATTTGATAAGAAATTGGGTGGGCCCCACAGCCGGTCTGGACGACGTGGAGAAGAGAAAAGTATCTTGCACTGCCGGGAATCTAACCCGGGCTGTCCAGCCCGTAGCCGGTTGCTATACCGACTCCTTAAAGCGTTATAGACATGTTACAGTTTTGGTTAAAATCGGACCGCAATAACGGACTACGTGAAGACTGACGGGCGTTTCAGCGCACATCTCGCGAATTGTTGGTAGGAGCGAACAGAAGTTGTAGAAAGGAACGAAACACACATTTCGGGTTCATTACTTTTTCTCATAAAATATTGCGGTTTCCGAGAAACTCGAACAACTGACCCGACGCGTCAGAATTGCTGAGCCTACGTTTTCCGTCGAACCTGGTTGCACCTGGCAGCGGAGCAAGTCTCGTGCGGTCAGCACACGCATCTCGATGGGCATTTGTTTCTTTGTTACTTACTTACTCATGGAGCTGAGCCCTTCTGGAGAAGCCGCCAATTCTGCAGCAACTCAAGAATTTCCCAGCATTTTATGGAACCCGAAGGTTCATTACCGTGTTCACAAGCGCCCTCCACTGGTCCCTATCCTGAGCCAGATCTATCCAATCCATCATCCCATCCTGTCTCTCTACGATCCATTCTAATATTGTCCACCCACGTACGCCTTGGTCTTCCCTGTGGTATATTTCCTTCTGGCTTTCCCACCAATATCCTATACTCATTCTTCATCTCCCCCATTCGTGCTACATGCCCTGCCCACCTCATCCTCCTTGACTTGATCATTCTAAAAGCTATATATATATATATATATATATATATATATATAATGCGGAATGGCTGGTAGGTAAGAATTCAGGCGGAGGAGCTCAAGCGCCCTGGCAACTCTTCAGACGCCCTTTCAAACGAGGCCCCTGGGGCTCCCTTCCATACCCTGCCATTGCGCGCTACGTGGCCCGAGCTACCCGAAACTGAAACCGTATCAACATACTGTCTGGGCAGGACTGAGGAAACGCACGAAAGATCTCAGGATATCCGAAATTCGAACCGCGTATTGGTTAACAGAGACGCATTAGCGGCAAGGCCTCCGAGACGCGCTACACAGGTTGAGAACCGCGCGGTTTGATAGTCACAGAACGAGTCTAAATAAGCCACCAGAGTCACGCAGCAGGTCCAGCAGTTGATGAATCGTTGCTGCAGAAGCTGACCGTGACCCAAACAGACGCAGCTGCTGGCGTGATGCCACGTCGTGTGAACATAGGCCCTTCTTGCGCGTTGTTACAGTTCGCAGTTCCTTTGTTGCGCGGTGTGCAGCACGTGGCCCGCGGGTCGTACTCTGACGATGTCCCTTCCCCTCCCACCCCAGTTGTGCATACGCATACTTGACTGCTACTTGTATTATTCGTCATAATACTCATTTCACCGAGGGTCGCATTGGCGGTATTTACGCGTTGTGTGTAGGTATTATATGAAACTGATAGATTTCTGGTAAATTTAGTAGTGAGTCCACACTGAAAGCTGAGCAGCGAATTTAATTAAAACTAGAACTTTTTAACCGGCTGAGCGACTGGCAGGTTCTGAGGGACTGTTTCATTGAATTAGTTTGTTAGGTCCAGTGCATTTATTTTGCCTCGGCTGTTGTCATTTGAAATTAATGACTCTCGAAACCAGAAAAGCAATGTATTTGGAAGATTTGTATACTCCACTGGAGTACACCTCGCTCCAGATGCACTGTGTCTTAACACATCGTGGGAATCTTGCAGCAGACCGGTGTGCTTCGCATGTCTGGCTTTGGGCGAAACGAACTACCCTCGGCCTATGTCAGTCCATTTTAACCTATGTAGAAGCGCCATTATAGATGAACGTATTTTTAACAAGTTTGGCATTCGGCGTGATTGAGACTTTGGTTAGCCAGGTTAACGTAGGCTGACTGCGTGGCAACACCGTGATTGTTGCAGCGAGGAGATCGACTGGAGCTGGCTGGCAACACTGGAAGCACGCGCCAGTGACCTGCGCACGCGCCATGACGAGTCACCGCGACCGCACAGCGCCTGGCTACGGGCGTCCATGCGTCGCGTACGGCCCTTCCGCCTATCTGACCCTCCAGGAGGGTCCCTCGACAATCCTAGCACCCGTCTGGGACCCCTTGCCACACCCGATACCGTCCTCGACATCCTGGCCAACAACAACCGCCGCCCGAGCTCCGCCCCCGGAGGCGGTGGTTCGCGCGTGAGACGAGACTTCCCCCGGCGGTACAGTAGCTACACTGCTACCATCCTGAACGGCAGTGCCGCCAACCTGACACAAGCTACCGAGCCCGTCGCTGTGGCGACCCCCAGCTCAGACGAGGAGGACCTCTCTAGTGCCAGTGAAGGGGCGCGGACTTCTGGGGCCGAACAGGGTACCGACAGTGGCGCCGAGACGGTGAGCATCGGCACGAGCACCAGGTATGAATGTGACGCTAGTGGAGCTGAACCTTTCTTGAGAAGCCTCCAGTCGCCCAGCTACTCAAGAATTTCCCAGAATTGTATGGAACCCAAAGGTTCACTACCGTGTTCACAAGAGCCCTCCACTGGTCCCTATCCTGAGCTAGATCAATCCAGTACATACCACCCCCTCCTATAATCTCTAAGATCCATTTTAATATTATGCACCCACCTACGTATAGGTCTTCCTAATGGTTCATTCCTTCTGACTTTCCCACCAATATCCTATATGCATTATTTCTTACTGAAAACCGTCATAACACAACAATGAATAATACGTGTAAGTAGCTCTAGGAGATACTTTTGCTACATGTTTCGGCCTTCAAAAGGCCGTCATCAGGCAAATACATTAAACTTTTCATTATTGAATAGCATGTCAAATTATTGATTGTTGAGTTATGACGGTTTTCAGTAAGAAATAAATGCTACACAACAGGATGCGTTCACTGAAAAAAAAAAATCCTATATGCATTCCTCTGCATGCTCTGTCCATCTCATCCTCCTTGACCTGATCATTCTAATTATACTTGGCGAAGAGTAAAAGTTATGAAGCTCCTCTTTATACCCAGATTCCATCTGCTCTTAATTTCCTCCTGAATTAAATTTTGATGTGTTACTGTTGTTCCCAAATATTTTAACTGTGCCACATTTTCAAAGGATATGTTGCTTATCTTTATGTTATGATTTTGCCCCGCATTGTGGTAATGAGACGACAACATATACGTAATTTTCTCTGCGTTACTTCAAGACCAACCACCTTACTAGCCTCAATTACAGTTTCTGTGTTTTTCTTTATGGTATCTATGTTATCACCTACTAGATTCATATCATAAGCGTAGTCCAGCAGCTGGAGCCTGAGACACCACTGCTGCAAAATTCCTGGGACGAGGCTGGCCGCCACCAGGTGACTTGCACGAACCCGGACCTTTCATGTCACTTCTGCCATACTGCGCGTTGTATAGTGTCTTCGTTGAGTCCTCACGGGCAACAGCACAATATCTCGGAATGCATTATTTCGCTGCCAAAGAAACAGTTGAATGCAGCTGGCAGTGATGTGTGATGCTGCCTCCCTTTAATGTCTGACGGTCATACGTTTTGCTGCTACACGATGTACAAGTATATTATTCGCAGTGTTTGTGTCTGGAGGATCCGGGTTCAACTGCCGGCCCTGAGACCTACTGGCACCACATTCCTTAATGCTTCCAGGTCATTGATTGGCTAATACATTACAATAGGCCATGGCCTCTTCATTCCAGTTCCTTCTGTATGAACCATTTACATCCATTTTACTGTTCGATGCTAAATAATAATCAAAAGAGTCGAGGAAATGTTTTTAAATAAGCCATTACAAATGTTACCTCTTTTCACGCTACTGTATATGCCTCTGCCGGAAGTAGAACCCCTGACCTTTTGACCTGAAAACTGTAACTTTGTTGACTTTGTTACATGTTGCCTCGCGGTTTATTGAAAATCACTTGTACAACTGCACAAGTTATGCGGGAACTGCGTGACCGGATGGCCGGTTACAGTGGGCTGGGGCCACATTCCCAGCCTATCGTATTTCATTACACAAGAAAATTTTAATTTCGTGATTTGAGTCTTGTTCCTTCCTTAAGGTTTCGGCTGCTGCAGATTGCGACATTGACGTGGAAAGCGAGCAGTGCGTAGCGAATATCGCGTACCTTCGGCATGTTGCGAAGGATACAGATGTTTCGGTGCCCCTAAATGCTGCAGACTGTGTGACAGAAAGACCGAGGCCTGCCAGTAGGTCTCCCCCTGAGACTGAGAGGCCTTTCAACCGTCAGAGCCTTCCTCCCGCCCCCGGTTTCTGAGGACGCCACTCCCCACGACTTAGACCGAGGCGTAGACAACAGGATAATATTAAAACTGATATTAGCGATATGAGGAACAGTGACGAACCTTTTGAATTGGGTAACAACTGACCACAGGCAGCTCGGTCGGTCGATACGGCGCGCCCACGCTGTCGCCATGGCAACCGTCAGTGTACAGCTGCACGTCGCGACGTGAACGCGTAAACAGGGCGGGCTGGCATAGCGGTAACGCTATAGACTCATATCCAGGAGGTGGTCGTTTCGAATCTCGCCCGGGACGTCGGCTATTCTCAGTGTTGTTTTTCGTGGTTTTCCACGGTTTATCCAGGCGAATGCCATAATAGTACCCCGATTACGCCACAATCGATTTCTACCAAATCCTTTCCAGTCATCCTACCGCTGGACCCAGTGTAGGCTACTTCCTGACATGAAAAACGAACCCATATAGGGGTCATGAAGACGAAACTCTACATATTCTTGCCCCTTGCATGGAACTAATGTGAGCAGTTAACCTGCAGCTTTCAGTACCCAGAGAATAAATTTGTTGTTCCATCATGCTGCTCAACTGCCAATGTTTTGTCACAATGGAGGATGCTTGTAAAAATAGAATTATTTTCCCGAGGATTCTAAGGACAACCAGGAATCCTGTGTTGCAGGCAGAACAGTGAGCCTGAGATGCAGAGCACCCCACTGGGAACCTGGCCCCACAGCTTGAGCTCTATGCTGGCCACGCTGGGCTGCACCCTTGGGCTCTTCAATATCAGCCGCTTTGCCATTCTCAGCATTCACTTCGGAGGTAAGTGTTCATTTGCTGAACCCGGGATGTGATGTGCATGCGTTGGCTTGTTCAGCTTCTGAACAAGGGACAGGATGCTTGTGTGTCATTGTGTTCGGTTGCTGAACAAGGGGCAGGATGTATGTGTGTAGATGTGTTCAGTTTCTGAAGAAGGGGCAGGATGTGTGTTCAGTTGCTGAACAGGGTGAAGTTTGTGTTTGCCAATATGTTCAGTTGCTAATATGAATAGAATGCTTATGTTGATGTGTTCAGTGGTTGACAAAGGGGCTGGATGTGTGTGTATGTGTTCAGTTGCTGAACCAGGGACCAGATGCTTCTATGGACACATTCAATTGCTTGTGTTGCAGCCACCTTCATTGTTCAGTTTCTCTTGCTCACAATGGTGATTGGGATCCCGCTGTTCACCCTGCACACCTGCCTTGGTCAGTGCCTTGCTGCTGGTGTCATGGACATGTGGCGCATATCTCCCATCTTCCAGGTGAGTTCTATGGGTGCAAAACTTGGCCTGTCATTTTGATGCTGTGTTTGGATGCAGATGTGGGATAGCTCCAGAAAGCAGAAAATTACAGAAATAAAGATAACATAATTTGCTCTCAGGGTATTGGCGTTGCTCTGCTGGTATCGCAGGCGCTCATTGGTATCTACAGTATTGTTGGGGTGTCCTGGATGTTCATCTACTTTAGGGACTCCTTCATCACAAAGCAGGACAGCTATCGGTGGGCTGAACCATATGATTTATACCGAGAAGGTAAGAGTAGGTAGCAATGGTATAGCAGCTCCAACATCTGTGTAGATGGGCCACTCATAATATTAATAGCTTGAGCATGTGTGTAGATGGGCCAATCGAAATATTCAGCTAGTAAATATTTTGTGCATATGTACAAGTTTACCTCTGAGATGTCAGCTATAACCTAAACGTTCACATATGTGGTCGTTCCCTGCCGTGCCGTAGTTCAGGCACCTAGTCACCAGCGTCTCCCCATGTCAGGCTCAGGTTCAGTCTCTGTATAATACACTTAAAGTAGCAATGAGGAAGAGTGGTCACCAGGAACTTGAATTTCCTATACCAAGTATCATTCCAGTAATGCTCCATGCTTATCTTTTATAAATGATTCTTACAGTTGACTTCTCAGTTCATAATTGCAGTTTCATTGGAAATGCACCTCAAGCTATAGCTAACTGTAGTTACATATTTCAGATGGTCACCATTTTCTTATTTAACATTCAACATAAAAATGTCCTCAGAAATTTTCCATTTTTTCTGCTCATGTATCACCATATGAAATCTGACTGGTGTATGCACCCCAGAATTTTGCATGAACACCATGTGCTCTTACTGATGGCAGGGAATAGTGATATGAAGTTTCTGCAAGTTTAACTTTCACTGTAAACTGTCTAGGGACTTACTAGCTGGGCAGGAAGTGCTGTAGGCTAGTCACACTGTACATTGAGGCAGCACTTACATATTGTGGGCCCCCAAAAGAGTGCCAGGTGTGGACAGGTGGAGGAATCCTCTGGCCATATCAGGAGTTACAGCAACTGGATATGGGATGGATGACTGAGGGGTCGGAGTTTGAGTCCTGTTAGAGTCAAGATTTTCTGTCCTCCACATTGTCCAGACAGGCTCTGGAGTCCACCCAACCCACTATCTAATTGTTACCATGTGCTCTTTCCCTGGGGGTAAAGTAGCCAGGGTGTGAAGCTGACCACTCACCTCCAGCTAGTGCTGAGGTTAAGGGAATGTGAATCTATACATCCACTCCCCCATACGCCTTCATGGCGTAATGCTTAATTAGTTAAGCCCAGGGACAACTTTACCTTTTACCTTACTCTAGCAAGAAAGTCAGGGCTCTTTGAAGAGGCCTAGCATGACCAAGGGCATGTAATGGACCCAGCAGTGGTCTGAGAGTGGCCCCTCCAAGGCAAGAGAACAGAACCTTTATCAAGTAGCTTGTTACTGTGATACTAGTGACAGGGTAATGGTATCAGTATCAAACTAACAAAGCAGTAAACGGCCCCACATCGCCAGTGCAATGTTTGCGCAGTAGAGGTTAATGGGGAGTGGATTTCTTGTAGGAGCTGATATGGTGAAGAATATATCGTGGAAACTCGAAGAGACGGTACCAGATTACTTCAATAGTATTGTCCTTCAGCGCCACAATGTGGAGATGCCTGAGAGCTCATTTGGACATGTCAAGTTCCAGGTGGCATTCAACCTGGCTGTCGTGTGGATGATTGTCTTTGTTTCCCTCAGCAAAGGTATGCTAAGGCTTGAGATCACTTTTTATTTGGGTGTAATGCTGTGTAGAATTTGTCCTTGAATAAGGAGGCAGTAAGTTTCCCTCAGATGGTTTAACCATCTGCCAGATTGCTTTGTTTTGCAGAGTGCTTGTGTTAATATGCTACCTCTTCAGGGCATGTGTGTTAGTCTGACTGAAGCTCCATACCGTAACACAAGATGTAACTGCATTGTCAGCTTCACATTCCAACCACTTCTAGTCCTGTTGACCCTGGACCCAGGCCCAGCCTGAACACGATGGAGACGAAGAGAGTAGCCCCTGCCCCTGTCTTACCTATCCGCAGACTCTCATGTTTGCCAACAGCTGTGGCAAGAGTGGAACCTTGTGTCTTATTTGCTGCCAGGCCTCAAGTCATACGGGAAGGTTGTGTACGTGTTCTCACTGTTCCCCGTGTTCGGGACACTGGTACTGAGCACGAAGCTGTTGGGACTCACGCCTACCAACACGTCACACCAAGTGTTCCCACAGACTGTGTGGGATGAATTCTTCCTGAACACCAAGGTGAGTGCTGGACACTACATATATTGATTCTCTGTTATTACAATTATGACTGCATAATTTGCAAACATAAACATTGTCAACGTCACTTAACAGAAATGAGTCACTCTAGACTTGTATGCAAGAGGTCCTCGTTTTGAATCTCAGCCATGGAACTGGCCATCATTTCTAAGGTTCTTAATGGTTTTCCTCAGTCCCTTCAAGCACATGCCAGGGTACTACCATGGTTAGATTACAATCACTCCCAAATCCTGGCCGATTCAGCATTCATCTGCCATCCTATCATTTTATGCTATGTAGTTCTGGCTTCTGACAGTGTTTTAAAATAACCCACAAAAAGATGGATAGTAAGGAGCAGTGCATATGCTTATGTGCGCATGTTGTGTTCTTCAAGGCAACTGCACATAAAATGAAGAGTGTTACTTTCACTCATTCACCTCACAAGGAGTAAGCAGAGTTGTCACAGTGAACTCATATCATTACTGCAGGCCATATGTGCAGAGGGCAGTATGGTGCACTGTCAGGAGACTTACACTGAAAAAAACAGCACTCCCACTGCGATAAATCCAAGATATGGAGGGTTGGGGGCAAATGTACTGAGGCACTGAGAACACAGAAAGAAACCCCATGGGTTGTGGGGGTGATAGCTCCCCCTCTTTGCCTGCTGTTGGGTGCACATCCAACCAGAAGTGCTTGTCCCTAGTGTCACTCATCTGCTCCCAATATTTGCGTGACAAGGACTAGACAGCTGACGGGGCATATCGAGGCTGTACAGTGTTGGATGCTAGGATGAATGATGAATTGGAAAGGGCTTGGGAGAAAGCGGTTATGGCCTAATTGAGGTGCCATTTTGGCATATGCCTGTAGGAACTGAGGAAAACCATGAAGGCTTCTGTCAAGATTGCCAGTGTCCTGGGTGAAATTTGAACGTAGCATTTTCCAAATCTGTAAGTCTGGAGCTCTCCCGCTCGACAGGCAGGTTCAGTCGTTGCATGGGACCTCTTCCCATCACCTTGATACAGTGAAACCAGTGGATGTCTCTTGTGCTGGATGATGCCTCACGAGTCTCTGTGAATATGTTGCCTGACAGTCTCTTGATCTAGGGGACACGTACACATCACATCCTGGTTTCGGCATCAGCCCTCCTGGTAATGTGAAACCTGCTATACATTGCAGTTCCATCCAACTCTTAAGCCCACTGTTAGTCTTCTTCCAGAACACAAGTTTTCTTCTGCAGGTTTCTGTAAGAATATTCTGCATGCTGACAAGTTTCGTAAGAAAAGTTTGTACCATTTATAGTCTGTTAAGGTTACTCCGTTCTGGCATGTGAAAGTGTGTAGCCTGGTCAGCATGGTTACCAGTGTTTCAGAGGAATCTGCTGCCTCCATCAGAACGTACAAGAATTCTGGTAACACAGTCAGTTGTCACAGGGGTAATGCTCTAGACCAAGGGTCTCCAAACTATGGCTCGCGGGCCACATATGGCCTGCGATGTGATTTTATCCAGCCCGCGAAAGAATTGTGCAGAAATGCGCCAATTGAACTAATTTTCCAATGAGTACGGGTAAAAAAAATACTTGTTCATAGATTTCAAATTCATTAATTAAGATTGTGTTTAAAATATATTGATATTCCATATTATGCCAATATTAATATTATTCACAACCACTTTTATCAGATACCGAGTGGCTTTGGAAGTTAGCATTTTTGCTGATCTGGTGAACCATATGAACAATTTGGATTTAAAGTTGCAGGGTGAAAATAACTTAGTCTGTGTAACGCCGTGGTGGCAGGGGGGCGTGGAGGTATCCCTCCGCTGCCACCACTTGTAACGCCGTGGTGGCAGGGGGCGTGGAGGTATCCCTCCTCTGCCACCACTTGTAACGCTGTGGTGCAGGGGGCGTGGAGGCACCCCTCCTTGCCACCACAGCTTACACTGTAAGGAGTTAACACCATAATCCTAGCTTACCCTCAGCTAGGATTCTCCTATTTCGGGGCTTCCTTCCTTACTTAAAGCTACCACCATCTATTATATGTCCTAAGAGAGGTGATGTAAGTACCAAGGGCCGGTAGTGCGGTAGTCGAGCGTCACTGTTTGCTGGCCCTTTCATCCTCGTCACCTCTTATTATTGGCGTAGAGCAGGCGTGCCGGGTCTGACCCGCCTCTACTTATCGTCTGTCATCTCTATGGTGGGAACTACCCCCTGACATATTGTCATAGCTCCCTTTTGGCAACTCGTCAT